AGCGAATATCGTCCTCGTGGAAGACCAAACAAAGTAGTTTCACTTTCACAACGAAACACACAGCTTCTCCACGACACTGCGGCGGCGGCAGCAACAATACTACAGCGAGAATGAAAGTTACGGCGCTTTTCTTTGTGTCAACATTTGGGCGGTGTTATGCAAATCTTCCCACACAGTGACGTAGACATGTGGGGGCGTGTTAGAACGAGCCGTTTTAGGAGGGCGTGGACAAGTCTTAACTTTTAGAAAGAATATCTCTTTGGGTTTGAGACTTTAGTCTTTGCAACTTTAGGGATCTTATCTATGCACGAACAGCTTGTAACACACCAAAGAGAAAGGAAAGTTTGAAATTGCATCCTATGACCCCCTTTAATGTCAAGTGTGTATTATTAATGCCATGTCTGTGATGTATACTCTCATGTGTTGTCATGTCAAACCATTGGCATCAGGATATACTGTGTAGATTTAATGTGATCAAGTTAAGTTACACTACAGTTCAATAGTTTGTGGTCGGTAAGATTTTTTACATTTTTTGCTCAACAAGACTGCATTTATTTGATAAAAAAATACAGTAAGTCAGGAAAATTGTTAAATAATACCACAATTTAAAATAGCTGTTTTCTGTTTGAATACATTTTAAAATGGAATTTATTCATGTGATAGTAAAGCTGAATCTTCAGCAACCATTACCTCAGTCTTCAGTGTCACATGATCCTTCAGAAATGATGCCAATATGCTGATTTGATGCTCAAAAAACATTTATTATTATTATTATTATTATTATCAATAGTTGTGAAGCTTAATGCTTTTGTGAAAATCGTGATACTTTTTTTTGGTCAGGATTCAGAATTTGAAAACAAAAAATCTCTTGCAACACTATAAACAGTCTTTACTGTCATCTTTTCTTTTTTAAAATACTTTTAAAACACTAACTATACATTTTTGAATGGTAGTGTACTTTTTTTCTCTTTATTTTTATACTTAGATTACCTTTTGCGTCATCTAAAACACTTCAAATTAATCTTTAAAAACACTAACGCTAAATTTGATCATTAGTATATCTTAATATCAATATTCATTCATCATCAACATTCACCAATCCCAATTCAATATTAAAAACATTTATTATTATTATTATTATTATTAACATCATCAGTGTTGACAATAGTGGTGCTGATTCATATTTTCTGGAAACTGTGATACATTTTTTTCAGGTTTGTTTGAAAATGATAATGTTTTGCATTGCAAATTCTTTACTGTCACTTTTGATAAATAACGAATCCTTGCTGGAAAAAAATAGTTTCTTTCAAAAAATTAGTAATGTGTGTGTGTGATAATGTCACAATATAAAGTATTATTTAAATTGTGCAATGAGATGTGATTTTATCAACTGATCTTCAGTAAACGAGTATTTCAGTGTGACATTGTTTGGCTGCGTTCATAGTGCATCTGCCAAACTGCCATCTGCATTTCCTTCTCATCAGCAGTCTGGACTGATCTTCTGCTGTTTACTGGCAGATCAGAGAGGATGAGCTGCTGCTTAATCCCTGTAGAGCACTGATCAGACACACGTTGATATATAGTCATGGCCATTTACAGGCCAGGCTGCATGTAGAGCGGAAGAGGAAGTTGTTTGAAATTTGCGAGTGGGTGTGTGTGTGTGAAAATGTGAGAAGTTGGGTAATAGAGATTGTGGGTCTTCATACTGAGGTCTTAAAATAAACTATAAGAATTTTTTTTAATCTGCACTCACTGTAGTGATAAGATAAAGTAAAAAAAAAAAAGTTTTTAAATGTAAATATAGGTTCAACTGATGACACTAGTAACTTAAAGCATTATCAGATTAACCAAAATATCTAATAGATAAATAAGTAGTTGTGGATGTTTAAACTGAACTTTGTCCAGAATTCTGTGGGCTCAGATTCCAGGCACATGTAGTTATAAGTTAATTGTCTGGCTGACCTACTGTTATGACGTTTATTGAAGCATTCAACAGTATTGTGCCTGAGATGCGAATGCTCTCACAGGGCCCAACCTTCATCTTAGCTAGCATGCACCCTGCCCTGCTGTAACCCCTGAAACAGGCCCAGCTGTGAGACAAACACTCCTCAGCGCGCTGACACTCAAAGTGCTCACAGCTGGAATTTGCGTTTTCTTCTCCCTCACTCGTCCTCTCAGCAACTTGATTCTTCTTCTCCAATATACACAAATCTCTGTTCATTTTAGGCTCTTAATGTGTCTGGATGATCTTTAGAGCGAAGAGAGGAAGTGCTATGTTTAGAATGAAGCAGAATGTGGGTTTCTTTATTTCCATCTGTGTGCCTTAAGTTCAGCTAGAGACGGAAGTAGAGATGTTGGTCATAGCCAACAATTTTAAAAACCGTGTGTGAAATGTGCATTTTGGTTATTTTGACTACTCTAGCTCTTTTTTTTTTCTTTTCATAAATGTTTGTTTATATATATAATAATTTAATAACAATGTTACATTTCCACATTTTCCACTCTGTATATTATAATGTTCTGATACATAAATTAGTTTGTAGCAGTTAAGCACTTTAAAAGCACTTTTAATGGTTTTTATTTTTTTATTTTACATTTATTTAGTCAAAATTGTATTGTAGGATTGGCGGTTTATTTGCCATAATACATAATTATCCAATATAATCACCTACAAAAAATTAAATGATCATGTCTACCAGAAGTTAAATATTTGTGCATAACTAATTACTGTCATCCCAATAAGGCCTGTTCACCCCAAGAATGATAACTTGTATAAATATAGATAGCTATATTTGCATCCACACCAACGTTCTGTCCACATGGCATGGCTTTCTGTTTATTATATAAGCCCATTCTGCAGTTTTGTCATCTGCCGCTTCAAGTGCTAAAGCTCTATAATGATGTTGGATGGATTCAGACTCAGCTGTCAATGTTTTTATTGTTCCTTTGCTGGAAAAATTTTTTTTTTGAAAGGGTTTATTATAACTTTATCGTTATCGTCCTTGGCATAAATGTCTCTTTAGAATGACATTAGATCCGTTCTAAATATGGTAAAGCTCAGCATAGACTCTAGATTCACTGGCACAAGTGAGTATTATTAGTACAAACAAAATGTCTCTGTGACCAACTGGTACACCTAACTTTGAACTCATGCTCTTTTCCTGTTTGTGAAAAAAAAAAAAGCAAACGTTCAGGACTCTCAGCATGTATGTGCACACTCTGTACATGGTAAAAGTTTATGTGTCTGTTAGTCAGCACAACAGGCCATTTCTTTTAATAGGGCATCATTTTTCTGCCAACATGAAAGGAGAGTCACAGGAGAGGGCTTTCCCTGCAAAGCTGTTAGGAAGGGGCTCAAGTTGGTGTAGCCCAAGTGGTCAGCAATCCAGAAGTTGCTACTGAACTAATAAGAAAGTGCTGCTGTATTGTGGAGGAGCTATCGTGCGCAAAATATATAATAATAATAATAATAATAATAGTTTCATTAATTTCTGTTTGGCTCTTTAAAAAGTTGGGTTGTTGTTAGCAGAGAAGTATATAGACACATACTTGGAGTGGACTATAGAATAAAACAAATCAATCATACACGTTAAACACAAGTACCAAAAGTTCCTTTTAATGTATGTAAAATATTTAAGCAGAGTTAACATTTCAGCTAATCATCCATTGCTCAGCTGATTGTGTTTTTCCTTCCACTGAATTTCACTTCCTTATTCCCTCATTACAGGTGAAATAGTTGTGAACGAGGCAAACTTTGTAAGGAAGTGCATCGGAGCAGAAAGCTGTCAGGATGACCTCTGGGGGAAACTTGTGTGTACTAACTTCAAAGTTTCCTTCATTGCCCATAATTCCTTGCCACGACAGGTAAGCACAGACTTATCTGAGAGTCAGTACTTTTACTGCAACTATAAGCACTAGCAGTGATGAAATCATAGAATATTATTCAACACAAAACATGCTTTTAGTTTATAATGTGACTTTTTATTATGTGGTCTCACAACTTTAAAAAAGAGAAGTAAATAAAAAGCTAAATTAAATTAAATGAAAATAAAAAAAAGGTTTGAAGTTTTTATAATTTGTCTTTTGAAGAACTGCTGACTTTAAAGGGGTCATATGATG